AGGATATTTAACAGTGATGTTCTGCAGTTAAACATATGGGCCAATAAATTTTAAGTAATCCATAGATAAATGTGTGGGGCGGCGCTGTCAGTTGATTCTTTCTGTTCCAATTTCTTTCTCATGTTTTTGATGAGTTGGTTAACCTTCTTGTGTGTGTTAGAAGTTTCATATCAGTTTCTTCAGTACGTCCGTGTGTGTGTCAGTATTTTGTTTTGATAGTAAGAAGTATTTTGATTGTCTGTTGTATTATTCATCTTCTGATATAGATCGTCTGTATTATTATGTGTATTTTAATAAGTAAATATTTGTTCCAGTCTTGAAGCATGACTTTATTAACTTTCTGACATCGTAAGGACAGATAATTTAACCATAAGTTCTTTAGGAATTACGTTATGTTTCTTAAGTTTATGGAGAAAGATTAAGTAAGTGGTGTTTGATTTAAGCTCATTTATAATTACGTTTTTCTGAATACCTTACGAAGTCCGAGGTTGTACCGGGTCATTAACTACTCATGGTAAGGTTGTGGCATTCAAGTATCAATTGGTTTCCCGAAATAAAACTACCAACAAAAATTAGAATTCAGGTGCGTAATAGACAAACATGATTCGATAAATACCGTTTTATCTGCAACAGCTTATCATGCCCGAGAAGTCAATACAATAAATTAAAATAAAACTCAAATAATATGACACGGAGAAAAAGAAAAATGAAAGAAGTCTTCTAAATTCACCTGACTGATAACATAGTCAACCTAGCATAGAGGTCAGAAAAACGTGGATATCCCACATGAAACCATTCAAATAATTAGTTGGTTCAAGACCAGACTTCCATCAGGAAGACTCGGGATTAAATCCTGGCCACTACCAACACAGAAATAGTCCTTATTTCCTTGAAGGTGGTAGCAGATTAGCAGCTGAAACGTAGAATAAAAACTAGTTAGTAATAAGTATCTAGTTGTTAAAATTAATGTGTTACTAATTAAGTATTACAGTTAGGTAATCGTACAACCAACAACGAGTATGTTAATTTTTACTATAATTTTGAACTGATAGACGAGATGGTCTGAAACTAGTCAACGTAGCTCTTCATCCACTGCTGTGTGATCGAAAAGTAGGATTTGACAGTGACTTTTGCAGCAACGGGACGTGAACCATACATCATCAAATTCACATTCCGGGTATGTTAACACTCGGCCACACCCTCTGGATTTTGTTCCTTTTCTCACGATGTTAAGTCACAACGACAACAAAAATCTGTATTTTTCTCTTTTTCAATGATATTATATCTTATGTTTATCTTTCTCACAAAATGTTGCCATTGACGTTGAAAAATGTGATAATACGTTCTAATTGATATAACAGTATTAATATAATATTAATTTTCAGTTACTTTTGTCTGCATTCATTACAAACTAGAAATTAAATGTGAGTATAAGTAGCTTCATTTTGGAACCACATTATGAATTTAAAATCTGTTTGACCCGCTGTAAGAAAGCAGATTTACTGACACAACCGGCAGTGCATAGTATATAAATGGCGGTAATGACTCAAAACCTAATTGTTTTACGTCTTTCATTTCTAACCTCCTTGACTTTTTAGAAAATATCTGACGATTCTTTATTCCAAACCTAACGGAGTTAGGCCATTAAATGAATGCATAAAATGACAATAATAATAATAGATGTCAAAAGAGTATGTGTGAATAATATTTTCTTTTATACAGAAACGTTGCACGTCTTTATTTCTATACTATTCTTTGTAATTGTATATTAATATTTAGCCGATGGGAGTTTTTGTTTGATGTTGTCAGGTGTGTCGTCAGTCCCTTTCATCCCAGCGGACACAAAGGACCCAAGGTGTGGAGACATAATAGTTACTTGGCCATATGAAAGGGTTTTGATTTATTTGGTTTCAGTTAATGTACGCTGCCTATCTAATATAAAATATTAATATAATTATTAGGCCTAATATATTATACTAATTCAGTACAACAAACAATGCATCTCAGGGTACTACTTACAGTTCCAGTCACTGTATTACTTGCTAAGAGAAGTTTTTCAAAGAGCACGGGAATGTAAACATTCATATTTATAAATAGGTAAGATATATTTCCTACTTTGGCGCCAAAAGTATGTAGTGATAGGGACCTTGCTGGGGGGCACAGAATAATGTCGCGACGGTCCTGTTTAGCGTTTTATGTTAAAAGTTATTAAAATATTAGCCCATGACAGTTAAATGCAAGAAAAATAACAGCCGGGCTATATAAACGAGTTATTAAAATTTGAGTCAGTATAAGTTATTATAAGTGGTGACTAGTCAAAGGTTTATTCGACTTTAAGGCAGAAAAAGCCAAAGCTGAGAAGCACGTAACTTTTTAGACCTAATAATTGCGACTGAAAACTAATAAAAAAATTAAAGAAAACGCACACACACACACACGCATATATATATATATATATATATATATATATATAAAACGCCTCTTTATATATATATATCAAGTGTATAAACAATATTTCTAAGTCTTTATTTATGCTTTGAGCATGGAAACTTTCAATTGTGGCAACGATACTTCCTATTTCCCGGGGAAATCAGTGCCTTACGTCGAGTGAAAACGTAGTTACGCTCAACCATGGTTCAAGAGAAAATATTTTCACTTATACTGATAAACACCGAGGGAAGTTTAGAAAATGAAACTTCATCAAATAACATGGTCAGCATGGTTGATAAATTTGGTCGTTCAAATGGCAGGAACTCTTATTTATTTTTTCTAGACAAACATACGGCACTAGTTCTAAAAGTGATAAGTTCACTTTTGAAATCTTTTGCGTTTTTGTACGAATATTATTTCTCTTTATACTATTTAAATGTAAAATATTTCGTTTCACAAAAAATTTAAACTACTTTTTCCCTCACTTTTTAGAAAAATATTTATCGGATAAACAAAGCTCATCCCCACGTAAGAAAATCTCCTTTACGCCTGTGGTAGTAAGTAAAGCATTACACACACACACACACACACACACACACATATATATATATATAT